AAAAAAAAATAAAATAAAATTTAAGAGAAAAAAGAAAGAAAAAAGGAAAAGTCTTGTTATGGAAGCTATAGAGTGACATAGTGAGTCACGCAGTAAACCCTTTTATCCATATATCTTTATGTGCAAGTACTCATTGCAAAGAATCATTGGTCTGGTTTGAGGCCTCTGGTTTCTGATCCGTCATTGATGCTGGGCCCTCCTCTTGGATACCCTGTTGTTGCCCTGTGTCATGGAAATCCTGGGTCTGCAGGACTGGCCCCTTCTCCTGATCCAACAGATCATAGCTGGGGTGGATGTTAGGGTGGGCCAACTCATAACCCTGGTTCTGGGCCTGGGTAGTTGCAGGGTTGGTCAGCCCACCAGCTCTCCCCCATCTTCACCACCAGGGGTGAGCTCTCCATCATTGCCCCAGCTAGTTCACCCCTTGCAGATTCATCCGCACCCCATACCCCACCCTCATCAATAGGATCAACTCTACTGTGCTGCCAGATGAGGTCTTATTGGTCAAGCTAAGACTTCAAGGACTACATTTATTAAAAAGAGAAAAAATTCAACCCTTTATCTCCTTTCTGTTTGTAGTGGAAATGCTTTGAAATTTTCCCTATTTAGTATAACATTGGCTACAGGTTTGTCATATATCCTTTATTTTGTTGAGTGATATTCTTTCTATTCCTGGTTTCTTCGGGGTATTTATCATAAAGTAATGTCAGACTTTGTCTCAAGTGTTCTTGGAATCTATTGAGATCATGGTAAAAATTGTATTTCCTTTATGCCTCTACCATTCAACATTTCTCTATTTTTCTAATTGCTGAGTCCACTCTTTACCCTAATCCTCTCTTTCCTTTCCATGATTCTTACCTGTTTTTTGAGTCAGGAATCAGATGTTTTCTTTCAGATTCCTGAAGACTTAGGAGAATGCTGTTTGTCCCTATTTTGCCATCTTCCAATTCAATCTAGCTTATATGTCATTAAAATAATAGAAGTGGAACATGATCTAATTAACTATCAAGAACCATGTTCAGGCACATTTTAAGCAATTACTCCAATTACTATCATTATCTCCCCTGTAGTGATAAAGAAGTTCATGCAGAGAAATTAAGAATGCCCTAGGCCACACAGTTACATGACTGAAACTCAACTCCAGACCTATGTTTTACTCCTACCCCTACATGACCTCTTCATCCACAATGGGAGCAAAACAGATACCTATACATATGGTGATGACAGTAGAGTTATATGAACATAAATTATAGAGGAACTAACTCAAAAGACATATAGTGACAGAAAAAAGATTGATGTACATGGAGAGGTATCATTTTCACCCCTTATCACTGTATTTCAGAGTCTAATTAGAAAAATAATATGAAATGAGGCTAGAGAGGTTGACAAAGTTATGTGAGATATAAAGCATTTCATATATAACTTGAACAAAAGAAAAAGCATTGTTTGGGACTGAAGGCACAGCCACTAAGGAGGCTGAGTCATAAGGATTGCAAGTTCAATGCCAACCCTGCCTCAAAATTCAAATGTACAAAAAAATGCTGGGGATGTAGTTCAGTGATAGAGCAATAACACCAGCAAAGCTGTATAATCAATCCCCATTACTGAAAAGAAGAAAATAAAGCAAAGAAAAGAGAACTTATTAACTGATTTAGAATAGATCACACTTGTATTTTTATATTATCATTTTAACCACAATACAGGAAAGATTGATAAAGGAAACTATAGTTTAGGAGATAACTGCAATGGTTGAGGCAAAAGACAGGGGAGGCCTAGATAAAGTATTGGAATGGGTGTGAAACTCTGAAGAGGATATATGGTCTGGTGAAGTCTCTAGGTTATAAAAACCCACCAGACGTGAGATTGAGTGGAAGTGGTAAGAGGTAAGGAACTAAGATATGTCATGGAGATTTAGTTTGATAGATGATGAGGAATTGATATAAGGATTAAGTCTCAGGGTAATAATGGTCCTAGTATGGTACTGCTGACTTGGAAGTACCTGTAGAGACTCAATGAATATATGCCTGGAACTAAAAAGAGGCCTGAGGGTGGGTCAGTGATGTAATAGACTAGAAATCAGTAAAATAAAGGTGAGGGCTAAAGCTAAGCTCTGGGACTGAAGGAGAAAACAGGGGAATATAAATATTCCGGTGAAGAACTGTGAGGAGAAAAATCAGGGGATTATGTTCCTTAAGAAGCTGATAGGGTTTTGTAGAATGGAACATTCAGTAAGGACAGTTATTTCAGAAAAGTCTGCAAAGTGAGCAGAGGGTGGTAAAGTGCTTCATTCATGAAGCCCTGGGTTCAGTCTTAATACCACAAGAAAAAAAGAAAGAAAAGAAGAGAGGAAAGAAAGATTTTCAAGGTAGCCTCCCTGGTGATGTGAGTAGCAGTCCAGTCATTCTTGTTCCACATCTAGTATCCTCCTATGAGTGAGTACATACCATGTTTGTCTTTCTGAGTCTGGGTTACCTCACTCAGGATGATTTTTTCTAGATCCATCCATTTGTCTGCAAACCTCATGATGTCATTGTTTTTCTCTGCTGAGTAGTATTCCATTGTGTATATGTACCACATTTTGTTTATCCATTCTTCAGTTGAAGGGCATCTAGGTTGTTTCCATGTTCTGGCTATTACAAACAATGCTGATATGAACATAGCTGAACAAGTGCTCTTGTGGTGTGGTTGAGCATTCCTTGGGTATATGCCCAACACCCTAATTGTCGTACTAGAAACCTCATCCAACTACTGAGGGATCTGGATGCAGAGATCCATGGCTAGGCCCCGGGTGGATCTCTGGGAGTCCAATTAGCGAGAATGAGGAGGGTTTATATGAGCGAGAATTGTTGAGACCAAGGTTGGATAAAGCACAGGGACAAATAGCCAAACGAATGGAAACACATGAACTATGAACCAATGGCTGAGGGGTCACCAACTGGATCAGGCCCTCCGAATGGGTGAGATAGTTGATTGACTTGATCTGTTTGGGAGGCATCCAGGCAGTGGGACCGGGTCCTGTGCTCATTGCATGAGTTGGCTGTTTGAAACCTGGGGCCTATGCAGGATCGCTTGGCTCGGCCTGGGAGGAGGGAACTGGACCTGCCTGGACTGAGTCTACCAGGTTCATCTCAGTCCTCAGGGGAGGCTTTGCCCTGGAGGAGATGGGACTGGGGGTGGGCTGGGGGGAAGGTGAGGGGGGCGGGAGGGGGGAGAAAAAGGGAATCCGTGGCTGATATGTAGAACTGAATTGTATTGCAAAATAAAAATAAATTTAAAAAAAAGATTTTCAAAACACCTAATAGGTTTAGTCACAAAGATTACCCTTCTAAAAGCTTTCTTAGATTGAGAGTGTATGGAGCCACACTGCATAGGCTAGAGAAATAAATAGGAGGTAGGTATGTAAATTGTAGGTATCTGTTTGAATATGTTTGGTAAAGGAGACTGATGGAGAAAGTTTCATTTCCTAAGTTAGTTGAGGGAGAGGAGCTACTGTAAGGAGGTTGAAAATGTAAAGCAGCTCATCTTTGAAGTTTTATGTAGAGGAGTTATCTTTACCCTAGAAGCCCCATAAAGCATGAACTACCATTTCTGTCTTGTAGATAAAGATAGTAAATCACAAAAAAAGAGACTTGCCCAAGATACTGTGTTAGGATCTTGGAGAGCTGAGTTACAAACCTTGGTCTGTCTGATTTCCCAAATTTTACTTCCATTGTGCTCCAAGAATAAAGCTGATGCTGGCAAGTGAGGACAGGGCTAAAATTGAGGGTGACCTCACTCATCCACCCCATAATATTCTTTAAAGGGGTTGGGGAGATAGTGAATAAGTGGAGCTGTGAGGCCCTGAGACCTAGGCTGAAGACTATGGGAAAGTAGGGAGTCCTGAGCTCTGAAAACTCTACCAGCTCACCCTGACGACATTACAACTAAGATGAGAAAACTTCACTTGGAGAGCCTAGAGTGGGACTGGCATGGTCAGGGCTTAAGCTAAATCCATTACTGGCTCACAGGTGATTTATTGAGGCCTAAAGATTATTGAGGGAACAAGAGTTGAGGTTTGCGTCAAAGCTCTAGACCATATTTGACAGAGAATGTGATAAGGCTTGAGTCAAAACATGGAAAAGCAGAAGGATCTAAGTGTCAGCAATCAAAGGTACTCTTGGTTTGAAGTAGTCCTGAGGGCGAAGCTATTCATCACCATAGAGAACTTGCTCTGGAAACCTGTTGTTTCTGCCATGTACTTGCCTTTATATTAATTATATTCTTTGTGATGCTACCTCTTCATTTAAACAGCCAATACTCTTAGCATCTATTTTTCAGGAACCTCTCTTCCTGAACCCCATGGGGTCTTAATCTGAGAAGAGGTTACAGAAAGCTCAGGAGAGGGATATTTATTTGGGTATGGATGAGCGGAACGTGAAAAAGTTGAAATCCATCTAAAATGCCAAGAAGTGGAGTTGAGATCTTACCCCCTGAGACTGTTATTAGAGTACCCATAAATGACAGCTTGATATCACAAATTATCATTCTATTGAGCTGCTCAGTACCTGGCCTAAGCTACCTCATTAATGTCACATTGTCAACTGAGGAAGACGCATCTCCCAAGTCTCCAGCCAGGAAGCATGCCCTATTACCAATAGTGGTACTCACTAATGGTATACAAATAAGTACAAATGTGTCTGTTTGTAGCTGAATTCTAATTATGATCTTTTTGAAACCTCCAAGTACTCAGGGAAATCTTCCCAGAAGTAGGAGTTTCGAGGGCAGGCAGAACGGTATATGCTAAGTCACCAAACTGTGAAATTACCTGATTAATTTGAAAAGCATCTTGAGTCCTAAAACAAAATTGAAACTGAGAAACAAGACACCCACGGATGAGTACCCTAATGGTGAAGGTCAGAGAGTAAACATAGAGTCAGGCATTCCATATTTTTGATAGAGACGCTTAGTCTGTCTCCCTCTTTTGTTACTCACAAATCTCTAATTGTCACTTCCTCAGAATGAAAATAGTGCTATTCCAATAAGCCAGAATGAACCTCATGGACATCGCCAAGATCTTCTCTCTTCTGCAGCCTGAAAAGGAGGAGGAGGACAGTAACACAGAAGAGAAGCAGGCTCTCAATCAAGCTGTATATGACAATGACTCCTGTACCCTGGATCGCCTTCTACAACAGGAGCGCTATAAACGATTCATCAACAGCAGGAGCGGATGGGGAATACCTGGAACACCCTTGCGTTTGGCAGCTTCTTATGGCCACTTGAATTGCGTGAAGGTTCTACTGGAACATGGTGCTGATGTTGATAGCTTGGATGTCAAAGCACAAACACCACTTTTCACTGCTGTCAGTCATGGTCATCTGGAATGTGTGCGCATGCTTCTAGAAGCTGGTGCCTGTCCTAGTGGTAGCATCTACAACAATTGCTCTCCTGTTCTCACTGCCTCACGTGATGGTGCTGTTGCCATCTTACAGGAGCTCCTAGGGCATGGTGCAGAGGCCAATGTCAAAGCTAAGCTTCCAGTCTGGGCATCAAACATAGCTTCGTGTTCAGGCCCCCTCTATTTGGCTGCAGTCTATGGTCACCTCGACTGCTTCCGCCTGCTTTTGTTCTATGGGGCAGATCCCAATTACAACTGCACTGACCAGAGCCTCATAGGTCGTGTTCCGCAGCCCCGCACACTTCTTGAAATATGTCTTCATCATAATTGTGAGCCAGAGTACATCCAGCTTTTAATAGATTTTGGAGCTAACATCTACCTTCCATCTCTCCCCTTGGATCTGACCTCACAAAATGATAAAGGCATCAAATTGCTGCGACAAGCCAGAGGTGAGTGGTGATCATGCATACCTCATAGGATTTTTTATTGGAGGTCTCAGGGTTCCAAATCATTATCTAAGTCCTTCCCTCTGGGTTGAAGTAGAGATAGCTCCATCTTCTCCATTCTCCTGGGGTCCTGGGGAGAAAAGGTTAAAGATTCCACATGAGTACAAGGGTCACCAAGATGAGGTATTTAGAAAGCATTTATAGAATTCCTGCTCTTAGATCTGCCAATGACTGACTATTTTGATGCCCTGAGAGCATCTCTTCTCTAGGCTTCAGTGTATCCCCATTGTTATCATGCATTGGGAGACTATTGGGGCAGTTCTTAGAGGTGAGAGGGTATTATGGCTGTAGTAGCCATGGCACAGTAGATGTAGGCTTGGAAAGGATAAGTATACTGAGAACTGATGCTCATAATCTGTTTTTCGTTGTTGTAGCCACTCCACGGTCACTGCTGTCTCAGACTCGTCTAGTTATCCGCAGATCGCTGATCCAGGCCAAGCAGCCACAAGCCGTTGACCAGCTAGATATCCCCCCTGTGTTGAAGAACTACCTCAAACATCAGTGATGTGTTTTCAACCTTCCAAGGAACCCGCAATACCTCCAAAAACTACCTGCTAAAACAGGTAGCTTGAGGGGAATAGACCTCACGACTTTTCTGGTGTAGTATCCTCCATAATAAAGCCCTCAGCAAAGCATATCCTGGTGGCTGTGGTGTCTGCTGTTTATGTGTGGGAATGGGGGAGGGCCCCTGGGGAAAGGGTTTGATCTGCCATAGGGAAGGATTGGCATAAGTCTGGTCCTGACCAGCACAGGAATCTTGACTGCTGAAAAATAAGAGAAAAAACTGACCCATTGACTGACCCTTCTCAACAAGGCTCTCAGTAAGAGTTTGCTGCCCTGGTATAAAGGTTTTCAAAAATCCAAGTATGTGGAAGAATCCAGTGGGCTTCTGAAAGTGGTCGCCCATGCTGACTATTCTCAAAGCCAATATCATTATCTCCATCTGGGTGAGGGGCTAGAAAAGTACACCCATTTGAATAGGGCATGATCTTCTATGGTATGTGAGGAGTAGATTCTCTGGTTGACCCACAAAAACATATGGACACTGGGCATTTCAAAAGACTTGCAGTTGAGACTATTATTGGTATATACCAAATACCCAACAATGAGGAGGGCCTGAAACAGTTCTATTTTCTACATGAGGTTACTGAGATACTGGCAAAATTAAGTGTTCATATTTTGGGTAAACCAGCTCTCCAGACCACCTCTAGGTCTTCTTCTTTTAGTTGATTACTTCCATTGGGTATAAAAAACTTAGTGCCTCAGTCCTTTCCTTTCCCCAGACCTCACTGCTCCCTTCTAGACAATGGGCCAAGGGTTGGGATAGATCATCTCAAATTCTAATAACTCTTCCAAGATTATTTTCCCTATGAGGTGTGACAAGTAAGTAGAGGCAACATTACTAAATTCAATCTTCCCTTGGCCTTTTGTTTCTTGTCACTGACCCTTGGTGAGAATCTAATACCCCTATTCCCTAAACTTTCAGCTGCAGCCAACTTTCAGAAAGGCTGAGTCTTAAGTACTTTTAAACTTCAGGTAAGCTCTAGATCCGTCCCTCTTTGGAAAAAAAAAAAATATAACCAAGTCTAGCTTCCGACTTCTAGCCTGCTTGCTAGCTCCTTGTTAGCCAGTCCAATAAGCAGACTTTCTGTCTTCAGTATAAAAGCAGTGCATGGTAGGCAAAGAGTAGGATCTGGTCCAAGGACCCCCTTCCAGTGCTCTGGCTTATAGACAAACTGCTTCAAAACCACCATGTACTCTGTTTTAGCATCCTTGACCTCACTTAAAAAGGAGCCATTCTTTCTAATCAGAATTGCTCTCTTTTCCAGAAATCATATTCCTAGAAATATGGCTGGCTCCATAGATTCTCCCTGTTCTGGGCTAGGTACTGCATTTCAGAAATCCTACAACCCCTGCTTTCTTTCCCTTTGCCCCTTCCCTTGCCTGCCTTCCTGTCCATTCGTTTCTCCTTAGTTACATCTCAACCTTAAGTTTATTTTCCTCTATATGTAAAACATTAAAATGTACATGTATATAAAGTACTACATGACATTTCAATACATTTGTACATGGTCTAATGTTTAAATGAGGTTAAGAATATTATTTACTTAAATATTTATATTTTGGGGTAAAAATTTACACTTTTTCCAGCTTTTTGAAATGTCTATATAGTACAGTGATACTATCTATAGTTACTTTAATGTGAATTAGCAAACCAGAATTTCTTGGCCATTTCATAACTGCTATCACCTTTCCACTTTTAACTTGTATGAGATATTAATTTATTTTTATAATTCACATATGAGTTAGATCATTGAGTGCTTCTTTTTCTATTCCTGACTTATTTCCCTTAACATAATGAGTACTGATTGTTACCAGAGGTTGAGGGCATGGGGAGAAATGGAATGGGAAATTATTGATCCAAAGAATATAATTTTCAGATAGACAGGAGACTTTGAGATCTGTTGCACACAGGATAACTACAGTCAATAATTATGCAGTATATTATTCAAAATGACTAAAAGTAAAATTTACATGTCAAGCCATAAAATTATAGGTAAATAGATGATGAGTATGTCAATCCACTTGATGTAATCATATTACATTTCGTGAAAATATTACATTGTTCCTCATTTGCATATAAAATTATGATTTGTTAAGTATATTTTTCAAAAGAAACCTAAAGAGTTACTTTCACTCAAATACTTCTTATATGTTGGGGAATGTGCTCAAACAAACATTTTATGTAGATTAACTCATTTGATTTAACAGTCTTATCATACTCATGGCCATTTTATAGATTAAAAAAAAACTGAGATCCAGTGTTGTTAAATAACTGGTTTTTAAAAAGTAGTCACTCACAAACCTACAGAATGGAGTGAATGTACTTACCTAGGTAACATCTCCTTGGTACTTTATTAACTAGTCATTTTCTAAAATAGCTATATCTGACTCTGTGCAGTATTAGCAAGCTTTCTTATATTCACCCCCCCCCTACTGCTTTTCTTCTCACTATCAAATTGGAACTTTAGTGTCTCCTACTTTCCAGAGCAGGTAGGTATGAAATCTTTAACTTTCATGTCAATATACTATTGAATCCTCCTATTCCTTCTTGTCTTAGTCTGTCCTACTAACCAAGACTAACTCATCAGTACTCTGGATTCCATCTATCACCAGTCACCACCCTGACACCAGATTATCTTTTCTTTTTCATTTTAAATTACATATATTTGATTTATTTGTGGAGTGTATGCCACAGCACATATGAGGATAATTTTGTGGAGTCATATCTCCTCCCACCTTTAAGTAGGTTCTGGGAATGGAATTCGGGTAGTCAGGCAAGCACATTCACCCACTGAGCCAGAGTCTTTGTCTTCTACTTAATCTCTTTCTCTCAGCATACAAACAAGCGCCTCACCTTCTAACATGTAAAAACAAACATGCACCCCAAGGCCCTCTCCAGTCACTACCTTTTGTAGCCAAACTTCTGTAACAAGGAAACTATTTTCTTGATCCATACTGGTTGGTATCTGTCCCAGTTCTGCCTTCTAGCTGGTGTTGCCCATATCACCAATGAATTTCTAGGTCCATACCCCAGGGTATATGTTCTGCCTTTATCTGAGAGTGTTGTAGGATTTTTCTCTCACAACCTTCATCCAAGGTGCCATCACAGTGTTCAGCTAGTTCTGTTTTCAGAATACATGCAGAATCCAAATATGTCTCACCATATCACTGCCTCTCACCTGGGCCATTAATCGAGTCAGTATGCTCTGCACCCTTTTCCATTCTCTTTCCTCCATTATATTTATTACTATCTGGATAACTGGACATTTTACAGAAGTATTTTTTAGTCTGTTAGTGCTTTCATTGTCATGATGAAAGGCAATGAAAAACACAGCAATAAACATAGATAACTAACAGACATTATGTTAGACAGTAGCATTGCTATGAATGGGGGAAAAGCTAACTAAGGTATTGAAACGTGAAGGCAATGGAAAACAGAATTGTTATATATCAAGTGCCCAAGTAAGATAATCACTGTTGATCTTTGTGTTGTGACATTTGATTACACATCTGAAGGAAGGGAGGCACAAACATGCCCATTTTCAGATGTCAGTCACCACAGGCAAAGGGAACAAGTTCAACACTTGTATTTCTATGCTGTCTTTCTTTTCCTCTCTTTCTCTCTTCCTCTCTTTTGTTTTATTACATAGGGTTTTGTAGCTAAGGCAGGCTCCAAACCTATGACCTTCCTGCCTTACTCTCTCTCCTGAGTGCTGGAATTATGCCTGGAATTTTACACCTGGTTCAAAGTTGCTATCTTACCTTTCTTTGTTTGCAGTGCTTAGGATTATATTGTTCAAATTTTTCTGTCATTGAGCCACATTCCCAGCTTCTTACAGTAAGATTTCTGACACATCAAGCTCAGAATGTCCCAGACACAAGCACTACATTTTCTTAATCTGTATTTGTAGTCCCTGAATGACAGCAACATCTGGCAGTTCCTTGCCCAAATTGGAAAGTATAAAATATGGGTCCTCCTCTGCTAGAATGGCTGCCTGTAAGGAGAGAAGCCGTGTCTAGTTTACTCCTCTGGATGATGAACATGCTGCTTCAGTGACACAGAACTTGGCAGAGAGGAAGTATTCAGTGACTGGAATCATCACAGTTTTCTGATGTCAGTGTTTTCCAATACAGGTAAAAGGAGTCAGAGCTCCCTACTGTAAACTCAGCAGGCTGAATAGTTCCCTTAGTTTAGGGGACCTCAACTAATGCCAGTATATGATTTGTGGCTTCAACTATGCAAAGAATTTCAGGACTAGCTACTATAATAAAACAGTTGAAATTTTAGAAGCTTAAGCCCCATGATTAGGAGAAAAGGAGGCACTCAGAAAAAAGCAAGACATACCCAACTGTAGGTATGGGCCCATCAGGGGAGTCTCAGCTCATTTTTTTTTAAATAGCATATATAGGATTTTGAAGTTTCTGTCTTGTCACTGTCAGGTTTCAGAGGGTCATGTGACAAGATTACAGGTGAGAAGGTAAATGTCTATCCCACAAAGAAAGGGAGATATATTTACTGTAAATAGTGTTGTTTGAGGTTCTCAGGGAAAGGAATGAGGCTCTATCCAGACATATACATTCAGGCATTAATTCTGGTTTATTGTTACTTGAACATAAAATGTCTACACATGAAAGGAATACTACATATATGGTAGAAACTGTTGCTTAGTTAATCACCATGGCCAAAATCAACTTGGGGAGGAAAGGAGGGTTTATTCCATTTTCAAATTTCCAGGACACTATCTACCACTGATGGAAGTCGAGACAAGAATTCAAGCAGGAACTGAAGCAGAAACCATGGAGGAATGTTGCTTACTAGTTCTCTTCCTGGCTCATGCTTAACTAGCTTTAGTATACTGCCCAGGCCCTCCTGCCTTGGGCAAGTAGGGCCCAAGTGGGCTGGGCCTTCCCACATCTGTCAACCAGTCCTTCACTGACAGG